TCAATTGTGATAAAATCACCAAATTTCTTTTGTGATCTTTAGCATTTTCCGGCCAGGTAAAGTGTAGTCATTTCATCTATTTTGTTTTCCTAGGTCGAATTTTTGAGGAAAATGTTGTGTTTGTGTCATCATACATACAACTACGTGATCAGCTCTTTGGATTTTGTCTTTCAGACGGTCGCTCTGGTTGGGGAAAGTGGATGTGGGAAATCAACAGTTATCTCATTAATGCAAAGATTTTACGATCCTGATTCAGGTCATATTATGGTGGATGGAATTGACATTCATAAGTTCCAGTTGAAGTGGTTGAGGCAGCAAATGGGACTTGTGAGCCAAGAACCTGTCTTGTTTAACGATACAATACGTGCTAACATTGCATATGGAAAAGAAGCAAATGCTACCGAGGCAGAAATTTTAGCTGCATCAGAGTTGGCAAATGCCCACAAATTCATTAGTGGGTTACAACAGGTTACAACACTCTGAATCTGTTGCAAGTAATTAATTAATCAAGCTGCATGTTACTGTCAATTGAATACTTACTAAATAGTTGTGGTACACAAAAGGAACTAAAACTTTTGATAGGATGTGTGAAGCCTAATCGTACTGAACACCTTACCACGCGTTATGTAGCTCTAATTCTATAAGGTTAGGGGACGGTTTTCATCATTCTAAACACGCAGTAATTCGTTTATTCTCCATCATGGTAAAATCTCTGCGACTCTGTGGACTTAGCTCTAGTTTTGGACGAAAATCTGTGTGTTATTACTTGTGTTCTTGTTTTATTTTTCTGTTATTTTTTGCAACTTTTTGTTGTATCACTTTCTGTATTGGCCTTCATTGATGAGCTGAATTGAATTGCAAGTATACTGAACACTTTTCACCTTGTGATAATGCAAAAATGCAGGCGTATGATACGATTGTAGGAGAGCGAGGAGTCCAATTGTCTGGTGGGCAGAAGCAGCGCGTGGCTATTGCAAGGGCTATAGTGAAAAGTCCAAAGATAATACTACTGGATGAGGCTACTAGTGCACTGGATGCTGAATCCGAGAGAGTGGTTCAAGATGCATTAGACCGAGTCATGGTGAACCGAACTACAGTGGTGGTGGCACATCGATTGTCCACCATCAAGAATGCAGATGTTATTCTGGTGGTTAAAAATGGAGTCATCGTGGAGAAAGGGAAACACGATGCTCTGATCAATATCAAGGATGGTTTTTATGCCTCCTTGGTAGCCCTTTACATGAGCGCTTCATCTTAGTAATTTTTTCTTCTTTTCTTCTTTTTTTTTGTTTTCGGTTCTTCAAAAAAAATTTGTGAAAGATTGCAATTATGTTGTTCTGATAATTATGTGAATATAAGTTGTTTTAGTATTTTACTAACCAGAAAAATAAAATAAAATAAAAAAGTTTGTTTTATGAGTTTGAGATACATATGAACTGGACTAAAAAGTGTTAGTGGGGTTTTAAGTTTCATTTACATTTATGTTTTGAAGCCTATATAAACCCATGCATTGTACTCATTTTCCATCAAGTGAAATAAAAAATATTTTCCTCCATTTCTATTCTCTTCCAAATAGTATAGTGTTGTGTGTGTATCTAGGCCACTATTTCCAACAAAGTGGTATCAGAGCCAGATTTCATGTTCAAAGCCAGATTTCATATCAGAGCCTAGACGATCCTGAAGGCCAGACGAAGTTGATCCTAGAAGGTTCAACATTTAAGAAAAACATGTTTCTCCTTGATGATGATGAAGGGGAGAAAATGTATTTTCTTAGTGAAAAGATGATGTTCTCTAATTACAAGAGAATGAGAATCATCATGACTTCATACCTCAAAGCATGCGATTTGTGGGATGTTGTTGGAGAAGAGCCAAAGAATGGCATGTCCAACAAGCTTCATGAAAAGAAAGAAAATGAAGGCATGGAGCAGCCCATTTCTCCACCAACATCACCTCCACCGCCATCAATTCAAGATCAATCAACTCCATCATCATCAAGTTCAAGTGACACACCACCACTTCGCATGAGGAGTCTTCGTGACATATATGACGAAACAGATGAGGTAACGGAAAGGTTAGGTGATCTAACACTTTTTTGTCTCTTTGCGGATTGTGAACCCGTAGGATTTGAAGAGGCTGCACAAGACAAAAAATGGAGAAATGCTATGGATGAAGAAATTAAATCCATAGAGAAGAATGACACATGGGAGCTTGCTACACTTCCAAAAGAGCAAAAGGCAATTGGTGTCAAGTGGGTGTATAAAGCAAAGCATAATGCAAATGGTGAAGTTGAAAAATATAAAGCAAGATTGGTCGCCAAGGGGTACAACCAAAAGCCTGGAATTGACTATGATGAGGTATTTGCACCCGTAGCTCGTTTGGAAACAATTAGATTGTTAATTTCTTTGGCAGCCCAGAACAATTGGAGAATCCACCAAATGGATGTGAAATCGGCTTTCTTGAATGGGTTTCTTGAAGAAGAGGTGTATGTTCAACAACCCATGGGCTATGTTGTAAAGGGGCAAGAAAACAGAGTCTTGAAATTGAAGAAGGCTTTATATGGCTTGAAGCAAGCACCAAGAGCGTGGAATAAGCGAATTGACAAATATTTTCAAGACAATAATTTTTCAAAGTGCCCATATGAACATGCTCTTTACTCCAAAGTAAGTGAGAATGGAGATGTATTTTTTGTTTGCTTGTATGTGGATGATTTAATCTTCACAGGTAGCAATCCAAAAATGTTTGAAGATTTCAAGAAGGTTATGGCTCGAGAGTTCGAGATGACAGATATTGGCATCATGGCTTATTATCTTGGCATTAAGGTCAAGCAAATGAAGGATGGAATTTTCATTCACCAAGAAGGCTATGCTAAGAAAATTCTTAAGAATTTCAAGATGGAAGATTGTAAATTGGTGAACACGCCCATGGAAGTTGGAATTAAATTGTCAAGAGATGAAGATGGAGAAACGGTGGATCCAACATTTTTCAAAAGTCTTGTTGGAAGCTTGAGATACTTAACATGCACAAGGCCGGACATATTATTTGCGGTTGGGCTTGTTAGTCGGTTTATGGAAAGACCCACCATAACTCATTTCAAGGCGGCTAAGAGGATTCTTCGTTACATCAAAGGTACCCTTGATTTTGGGTTATTCTATTCATTTTCTAATGATTTCAAGCTTGTGGGTTATTGTGATAGTGATTGGGCCGGAGATTTGGATGATAGAAAAAGTACTTCAGGCTATTGTTTTTTCATGGGAAATACTGCTTTTACATGGTGTTCAAAGAAGCAACCCATTGTCACCCTCTCAACTTGTGAAGCAGAATATGTTGCAGCCACTTCATGTGTCTGTCAAGTAATTTGGTTGAGGAATTTGTTGAAGGAATTACACATGCTACAAGAAGAGTCAACGGAGATTTTTGTGGACAACAAATCAGCAATTGCTTTGGCCAAGAATCCGGTGTTTCATGAACGAAGCAAGCATATTGATACAAGATTTCATTTCATTAGAGAATGTATAACTAAGAAGGAGGTGGAGCTCAAGTTCATCAAGTCACAAGATCAAGTTGCGGATATTTTCACCAAGCCCCTCAAGTTTGCAGATTTTCACAAGTTTAGGAGTTTGCTTGGAGTTGAAAAAAAATCAAGTTTAAGAGGGGGTGTTAGAAATTAAACTTTATTTTATTTAGTGTTTTACATTTATGTGAGTTTTTTATTGGAGTTAGTGGGGGGCATGAGAGTTACAACTAGTAAATGGTCATGTTAGTGGGTTAGTGGGAGTTTTGCCTACTAAATGGTCATGTTAGTGGGTTAGTGGGAGTTTTGCCTACTAAATGATATGTTAGTGGGGTTTTAAGTTTCATTTACATTTATGTTTTGAAGCCTATATAAACCCATGCATTGTACTCATTTTCCATCAAGTGAAATAAAAAATATTTTCCTCCATTTCTATTCTCTTTCAAATAGTATAGTGTTGTGTGTGTATCTAGGCCACTATTTCCAACAAAAAGAACACAAAGAAGATGAAGAGCATTACCAAGCTCTCATAACAAAAGATGGTGATATTTGATGGCAAGTGCATTATTTTATGTTCTATTAATCCAGGTTTAAAGTTCCATTTTTGTTTTGACATTAATTCAGACAAAAAAAATATATAAATATGTGCGTAGACTTGAACATAGATATACATATATTCTTTTTTAGAAGCTTACATAGATTTATTTATATTGGATAAAGGTTCAAACTGAAAAAATTGGAGAGGATGCTTCAAGTAAATAGGACAAAAATATTTACCAACAAACTGGCCATACCTGCAACATCAACTATATGGTGTTTAACCCCACCAATGCATGGGGTTATTTTGTTCACTTAATCTGAATAAATTGTTTTAATAAAATATTGTTACTACATAAAGGGGCAAGATTGTACCTGGGTAAACATTGTCTTTGCTTCGGTTGGGCTTAAGCCCAGCGTTTTTATATATATATATATATTGCAATTTATGTAGTAAACCCATTGTCACTAAATTACAGTAAACCCATCTCCTCTCAAACAGGCCCTCAACACCCACTCTCTTCCACATTTCTCTCTCTAAAACACCCGTCAGAAACCATGGCACCCAAACTAAAAAAGCCCCATCTGGGTTGCCTTCTCTTCTCTGTACATCGTCTCAGTCCGGGCAATTTCACCTCCGCCGATCCCCCAACAGCTTACGAAATGTTGTACCGAATTTGCCCTCCCGACGGTCTATTGCCGGACTCCATCAAATCATATTCTGTCTCCTCCGACGGAAGTTTCGTCGTCGAGCTCAAAAATATGTGTTGGTTTATTACAAGAAGCCAATCACAGGGAGTCCTCGATTGTTGTCGCCGACGAGCTCGCAGGCGGCGTTGCAGAGGGCGGGGCGGATCCTCTAACCGTAAATAATGGAGATTTATTAAAAAGTTCAAAGTTGTTAGGTAGTGCACTATCCTCACTTATTTATATCTATTAATTTTTTATTCGAATTCAATGTGGGACAAATGACCACTGTTATAATAAGCTATTTAAGAGCAATGGGACAAATGACCACCGTTATAATAAGCTATTTAAGAGCAATGAGATTAAAAGAAACAATAATTATTGCTGACCATTGGTCATTTTAAAATATATAGGAAGTCATCTTGACTGTTGATTATCTATCCTTAGAAAAATATATATATATATATATATATATATATATATGAAGGGATGGTAGAAGAAGTTCAAGACCTCAGGTCCTCCAAAAGGAACTAAGTAGGCTGATGATGCTCAGATTTTGCCATCTCAATGAATTTTCAGTTACTTCCATTTCTTTATAATTTTTTTCTTTTATTTTTATTTTCTGGGCAGGGATTAGTATGGTTTTTATTCTTTTCTATATGATGATTCTGGGCTGACAAGTTTAGTTCTGCACAACTTTAATTTGGAATATTGGGTCTGCTGGTTGCATAGGTTGATTCCCTTTTACTCTCTTTTACCTATCTAAATTATTGATTGGTGTTCCCTTCTTTTGATTTCTTTTTTATGTTCAGCTTTGTTGTGGAAGTACTGTGTGCATGGTTGACTTTAATCATACCTAGCTTTAATATGATGAGATATTAAATCAGTAATACAAAATCTGCACTTTGTTTTTTAAGTGATGTAACTAGTTTTCCTAATTGAATTCTTGATTATGTGAGAATTTAAATCATTAATACAAAATCTGCATTTTTTGTTGAAGTGAAATGGTATGGTTTTCCATTTAGGAAATGGAGCTGCCATTTTATTTTAAATTGAATTATTATTTTGTCTCTATTCTTCAGCCATTATATACTTTCTCTTCAGCCGTTATAAACTTTGAAGTGACAGTATGGCCTCCACATCAAGAAGCCATACACTGGAAACAGAGGCCCAGAGAACTAGCGGAATGAATGGAGCTCAAAGTAAATTGGAAAAGAGCAAGGAAGAGGAGAGCACCAATACGGTTCCATTTTTCAAGCTATTCTCATTTGCAGATTCTGCGGATGTTATGTTAATGATTGCTGGTACCATTGGTGCCATTGCGAATGGGTTATCCGTGCCCCTTGTGTCAATTCTATTTGGGGATTTGACAAATTCTTTTGGACAAAACCAAAATAGCAAAGATGTGGTTAGTTTGGTTTCTAAGGTAAAAAATTGCTGGATAAAGCGTAAAATTTTAAGATGCATTTCATCTGTATTGTGAAAAAAAAAAAAAAAAAAAAAAATGCATACTTGATATTACTGTTTTATGCTATCAAATTCTCACAAATATAATTCGATATAATGCTAGTTTGGTTGACAGTTTCTCTCAATTCTAGTATAACATTGTATTTAGCTACCTTTTAGGTATCACTGAAATTTGTCTATTTGGCTTTGGGGTCTGGTGCGGCATCATTCCTCCGTAAGTGCATGATACATCTAACTCTTTTATATTATTAGCAAAATAAAATGAAATAAAATAAAACAAAAAAGCAAAAGAAATTTATATGCAAAGAGAGTTTTGAACTATTGGCATCAAGATTCAAAAAACATGTGTCTGTTGTTTGTTAGAGGTGGCTTGCTGGATGATCACAGGAGAGAGACAAGCTGCAAGAATAAGAAATTTTTATCTGAAAACTATTTTGAGGCAAGAGATCGCTTTCTTTGACAAGGAAACAATTACAGGTGAAGTTGTTGGGAGGATGTCTGGTGATACTGTTCTCATACAAGATGCTATGGGCGAAAAGGTTACACTGCTAAAACTACATTTACCACATTCCCACTACTTAATAGTGGCCAAGTTAATATGCTTTTCTTTTTACTTTTTCTTTAATGTGTATCAAAATATCTTGTTTTACTGCAGGTTGGGAAATTTTTACAATTGGTATCTACATTTTTTGGAGGCTTTGTAATAGCATTTATCAAAGGGTGGCTTCTTACAGTTGTCATGTTGTCATCCGTTCCTCTACTTGTAATAGCTGGTGGAGCCATGTTCCTCATCATATCCAGGATGGCATCCCGTGGGCAAAATGCTTACGCGAAAGCAGCAATTATAGTTGAACAGACATTTGGCTCAATCAGAACTGTATGTCACTATCCCAGAATCAAATTCTTTCAATAAACTGTGTTTAATTTTGCTGTTTTTTGACTTGGTGAATTTGGCTCCCATTTGGCTACTACCTAGGTTGCATCATTTACTGGGGAGAAGCAAGCTGTGACTAATTACAATAGATCTCTTGTAAATGCTTACAAGTCAAGTGTTCAAGAAGGCTTGGCTGCTGGATTAGGTTCAGGAACAGTTATGTTTATCATGTTCTGCAGTTATGCTTTGGCTACATGGTTTGGTGCAAAGATGATACTAGAAAAAGGATATACTGGGGGTGAAGTGCTCACTGTAATTATTGCTGTATTGACTGGTTCCATGTGAGTGGGATTACTTATTTTTTACCTTTTTTGTGTAGTTTCTAATGAAGTTGCTAGGGTCTGCTTGGTTCAGTTTTCTGAAAACAGTTTTCAAGAAATCAGAAAACAGAAAACTATTTTTAGATAACTGTTTTTTTATAGTTCTTTGAAAACAAGTCTTTTTCTAACTGGGTTTTCATTAACTTGAACCAAGCAGAATTTTTGTACAGTTTTCTGATTTCCAATCCCATGGAAACAGAAAACTATTATCAGAAAACTGAACCAAGCAGGGCCACAGTTTGGTGCAAAGATGATACGGGAAAACGGATATACTGGGGGTGAAGTTTCACTGTAATTGTTGCTGTATTGGCTGGTTCCATCTGAGTGGGATTTCTCATTTTTTTACCCTTTTGTGTAGCTTCTAATGAAGTTGCTTAGTGTTTTTAGTACCACGTAAAGGAAAACACTTTTTCCTTATGCTTGAGTTTGTCAGGATGGAAGCAAATCATATTATTTACAACTTTTTGCTGCAATGTGGATATTTCAGGTCTTTTGGACAGGCATCTCCCTGCTTGGGTGCTTTTGCTGCAGGTCAAGCTGCAGCATTCAAGATGTTTGAGACTATTAATAGGAAGCCCGAGATAGATGCATATGACATGAAGGGAAAAATATTGGATGACATTAGTGGAGACATAGAGTTAAGAGATGTCCATTTTAGTTATCCAACCAGACCAGATGAGCAAATATTCAGTGCATTCTCTCTTTCTGTCCCTAGTGGCACAACTGCTGCTTTGGTTGGGTTGAGTGGAAGCGGGAAGTCAACAGTGATCAGTCTGATTGAGAGATTTTATGATCCACAAACTGGTGAAGTACTTATTGATGGAATTAATCTAAAAGAGTTCCAGCTTAAATGGATTAGGGAGAGAATTGGTCTCGTCAGCCAAGAACCCGTGTTGTTCGCAGTCAGCATTGAGGATAATATTGCGTATGGGAAGGATGGGGCAACAATTGAGGAGATTAAAGCAGCAGCTGAGATAGCAAATGCTGCCAAATTTATTGATAAACTGCCACAGGTTCTTGCTTTGTGTCCATTTTGTTACTCTTTCATCATTATTCTTCACTTTCATGAACATGTGAATTGTTAGTTTGCCTTTGAATTTTAAATTTTAATTTAGGGACTACACACCATGGTGGGTGAGCACGGAACTCAGCTGTCTGGTGGACAGAAGCAACGAGTTGCCATAGCCAGAGCAATTCTGAAAGATCCACGAATTCTACTTCTAGATGAAGCAACAAGTGCACTTGATGCTGAATCCGAAAGGATTGTGCAAGAAGCATTAGATAGGATTATGGTCAACAGAACAACAGTTATTGTTGCCCATCGTTTGAGCACAGTGAGGAATGCTGATATGATTGCCGTGATTCATCAAGGAAAGATGGTTGAAAAAGGTAGCTTAGATATAGAGAAAAGATAAACATTTCATCTCAAGTCTCAACTTGTGGTATGATTTTTAACGGACTTGTAGTTTTCTTGTGCATTTTGTAACATATTTCCAACTTTTGAGAAAATGCCCAATTCAATCCAACTTCCGAGTAGTTGCACTGGAAGATATGCTTCTTTCTACTATAGTAATATTCATTGTTATCTTTCTACTATAGTATTATAAATTGTTTTTGCACAAATGAAATTTTTTTTTTTCTCCAAAAATATATATACCTTCTAATGAAAATTTCCCGTAATTATAAAATTTTGAAAATTTCCTAATTTAGTTCCTAAATCTCAACTTCTTTTCTTTTTTTCTTTTTTTTTTACTGGTTTTCACCATGGTTCTGATAGATCTGAGGGAAATACATATCAGTTAGTTTCATATTTGTTAATTGAACAGGCTCACATTTTGAACTACTCAAGGATCCTGATGGAGCATACGCTCAGCTTACAAAATTGCAAGAAGTGAACAAAGATTTAGAACATGAAGGTGCAGTTGAGCAAGACAAGTCAAAAATTACTACGGAATCTGGTAGATGGTCAAGTCAACGAATGTCATTCCTGCGTTCCACAAGTTGGGGATCATCTGGAGCAGGAAACAGGAACCACCACTCACTCTCCGTCTCTTTTGGTCCACCAGTACCACCCAGATTGAGTGTTCCTGAAACTGCATTAACAGAACCCGGTGGCCTCCTACCAAAACTGTCAGAAAAGCGTCCAGAAGTTCCTCTCCGCCGCCTTGCCTATCTCAACAAGCCAGAGGTTCCGGTTCTGATAGCAGGAGCCATATCTGCAGTCATCAATGGTGCAATATCTCCAGTCTTTGCCGTACTAATTTCAAGTATGATCAAAATATTTTATGAGCCTCCACGTGAACTAAGGAAGGATTCAAAGTTTTGGGCCCTAATGTTTGTAATTTTGGGATTGGTATCATTACTGGTGTATCCAGCACAGACATACTTTTTTTCTGTGGCTGGGAGTAAGTTAATAACACGGATCAGGTCAATGTGCTTTGAGAAGGTGGTTCATATGGAGGTTGGTTGGTTTGATGAGCCCGAGCACTCAAGTGGAGTGATTGGTGCAAGGCTGTCCGCAGATGCAGCTAGTGTGCGAGCTTTAGTTGGAGACGCACTTGCTCAGGTGGTTCAGAATGCTGCCTCTGCAGCTGCAGGTTTGGCCATTGCTTTTGTAGCAAGTTGGCAGTTGGCGCTTATCATCCTTGCTTTGCTACCACTAATAGGAGTTAGTGGATATGTTCAAGTGAAGTTCTTGAAAGGGTTCAGCGCAGATGCAAAGGCTTGTTTTCAAACTCATGCTTGATTGCACACTTCATTTCTACATGTTCAAAAAAAAATTTCTAATCTAGGAGAATTTGCAAAGAACATAAATATTCTTTGAGATTCAAAATATTGCAGTTACCCATTTAGAACTGCCCATAATTCTCTTATGCATTCAGCACAGCCATTTTTAAAATTGTTGTTGAAGTTTGAACAATGTTCTAATTATTTACACAATTTCTCAAAAGCTTTCAAATCTAAATGGTTGCAGATGATGTATGAGGAAGCGAGCCAAGTTGCTAATGATGCAGTCGGAAGTATAAGAACAGTTGCTTCTTTTTGTGCTGAAGAGAAAGTGATGGAACTGTACAAAAGGAAATGTGAGGGCCCTATGAGGACAGGGATAAGGCTAGGTTTAGTTAGTGGGATAGGTTTTGGGGTATCCTTTGCCTTGCTTTTTTGTGTCTATGCAACCATTTTCTATGCAGGAGCCCGGCTTGTTGAGGATGGAAAAACAACATTTTCCGATGTTTTCCGTGTAAGTATATTCCATAGTCTCTGAAATAACACTATTCAAAGCATCGTTCAAGTGCTGTTTTTTTATTCATTCCATTTAACTCCATATCCAGCCGGCTAAGAGAAGCTTGAAACTGGGTTTTTATACCATACATGATTCTGTAATTCTGAGATATCGATATACATTGCAGGTCTTCCTTGCTCTAACCATGGCATCTCTTGCTATTTCTCAGTCAAGCTCCTTAGCCCCTGATTCCAGCAAAGCCAAAATTGCTACTGCTTCCATATTTGACATCCTAGACGGGAAGTCGAAGATAGACCCAAGCGATGAGTCTGGGATGAAACTAGAGAACGTCAAGGGAGAGATTGAGTTTCGGCACGTTAGCTTTAAGTACCCGTCTAGGCCAGATGTTCAGATTTTGCAAGACCTCAGCTTGACAATTCCTAGGGGCAAGGTAAAGTTTAGTCATTACATCTATTTTGTTTTCCTAGCTAGTTCCAATTTTTAAGGAAAATGTAGTGTTTGTGTCATCATACATACAACTACGTGATCAGCTCTTTGGATTTTGTCTTTCAGACGGTCGCTCTGGTTGGGGAAAGTGGATGTGGAAAATCAACAGTTATCTCATTAATGCAAAGATTTTACGATCCTGATTCAGGTCATATTATGCTTGATGGAATTGACATTCAGAAGTTCCAGTTGAAGTGGTTGAGGCAGCAGATGGGTCTTGTGAACCAAGAACCTGTCTTGTTTAATGATACAATACGTGCTAACATTGCATACGGAAAAGAAGGAAATGCTAGTGAGGCAGAAATTTTAGCTGCATCTGAGTTGGCAAATGCCCACAATTTCATTAGTGGGTTACAACAGGTTACAACACTCTAAATCTGTTGAAATTAATTAATTAATCAAGCAGCATGTTGCTGTCAATTGAATACTTGCTAAATAGTTGTGGTACACAAAAGGAACTGAAACTTTTGATAGGATGTGTGAAGCCTGATAGTACTATACACCTTAGCACGCTTTATGTAGCCCTAATTCTATAAGGATATAGTAGTGGGCGTTTTTCATCATTCTAAACACTCCATGATTCTTTTGTTCTTCATCATTGGGAAATCTCAGTGACTCTGTAGACTTAGCTCTAGTTTTGGATGAACAATGTAAATCTGTGTGTTCTTACTTGTGTTTTTGTTTCGACAACTTTTTGTTCCATCACTTTCTGTATTGGCCTTAATTGATGAGTTTAACTAAAATATTGCTAGGATACTGAATACTTTTAATGCAGGGGTATGATACGATAGTAGGAGAGAGAGGAGTTCAATTGTCTGGTGGGCAGAAGCAGCGTGTGGCTATTGCAAGGGCTATCGTGAAAAGTCCAAAGATACTACTGCTGGATGAGGCTACTAGTGCACTGGATGCTGAATCCGAGAGAGTGGTTCAAGATGCATTAGACCGAGTCATGGTGAACCGAACTACAGTGGTGGTGGCACATCGATTGTCCACCATCAAGAACGCGGATGTTATTCTGGTGGTTAGAAATGGAGTCATCGTGGAGAAAGGGAAACACGACGGTCTGATCAATATCGAGGATGGTTTCTATGCCTCCTTGGTAGCACTTCACATGAGCGCTTCATCTTAGTAATTTTTTCTTATTCTATTCTTTTTGTGTGTTTTCATTTCTTCAAAAAAATTTGTGAAAGATTGCAATTATGTTGTTCTGATAATTATGTGAATATAAGTTGTTTTAAGATTTTACTAACTAGAAAAATAAAATAAAAAAAGTTTGTTTTATGTGTTTGAGATACATATGAACTGGACTAAAAAAAACACAAAGAAAGAGTATTACCAAAGCTCTCATAACAAAAGATGGTGATATTTATCTATCAAAAAAAAATGATGGTGATATTTGATGGCAAGTGCATTCTTTTATGGTTTATTAATCCAGGGTTTAAAGCAAAATTTTTGTTTTAACATTAATTCAGACAAAAAAATATAAAAATATGTGTGTAGACTTGTACATAGATATATATTCTTTTATAGAAGCTTACATAGATTTATTTATATTGGATAAAGGTTCAAACTGAAAAAAATGGATAGGATGCATCAAGTAAATATATACGACAAAAATATTTACCAACAAACTGGGCATACTTGCAACATCAACTAGTGGAATGTTTATTTTACCAAGGTGTTTGGCTCAAAGTGTGTCCCAGGGTACAATTGTAATTCTCTAGTACGGGCCTACCAAGTGAATATTTTTTTTTTTTTTGGGAAACAATAACTCCCCTAGGCAGGGTCCCGTAGGGACCCACCCCAAGTTACAAACCTGTGCCACGCGCACCGGCCCCTCAACACGCGCAGCAGTAAATCGAGAGAAATAGATGGCTTGGGAAGAGTCGAACACTGGCCATTTCAAACCTAGCGCCAAGCTCCAACCATCACAACTATGCCCCGGGGGCTACCAAGTGAATATTTGAGTGCTAATGTTCCACTAAAATTTTACCCGATATTTCGCTGGTTCAGTGGGGGCCATGGCTTCACTCCTCCGCGACCTCCCATGTCAAAGCTAGTTATGGTTCCCCCCATTGCAACATTTTGGTGGCAGCGTCAATGAACGCTCCTTCCTTCTCAATCCATCCAATGCATTCTTAAGCCATCTTTGAATTGCACTGCTGTATGGGGCCCGGCCCCAGGTTCTATATTCTCTGAAATAACACTATTCAAAGCATCGTTCAAGTGCTGTTTTTTTTTATTCATTCCATTTTACTCGATATCCAGCCGGCTAAGAGAAGCTTGAAACGGAGGTTTTTATACCATACATGATTCTGTAATTCTGAGATATCCATTTGCATTGCAGGTCTTCTTTGTTCTAACCATAGCATCTCTTGCTATTTCTCAGTCAAGCTCCTTAGCCCCTGATTCCAGCAAAGCCAAAACTGCTACTGCTTCCATATTTGCCATCCTAGACAGGAAGTCGAAGATAGACCCAAGCGATGAGTCTGGGATTAAACTAGAGAACATCAAGGGAGATATTGCCAGATGTTCAGATTTTGCGAGACCTCAGCTTGACCATTCCTAGGGGCAAGGTAAAGTTTAGTCATTACATCTATTTTGTTTTCCTAGTTACAATTTTTAAGGAAAATGTAGTGTTTGTGTCATCATACATACAACTAAGTGATCAGCTCTTCGGATTTCGTCTTTCGGGCAGTCGCTCTGGCTGGGGAAAGTGGATGTGGGAAATCAACAGTTATCTTAAAAGGAAGGTGCCTTACTACAAATGGCTCCTTAAAGGGCCTCTTAGTGGGTTTTTGTGCTGAAGGTGCATTCATCCTGCTAGATTTGGTTCACGCCGACTAGTAGAGAATCACACTAGGGCTGGTCGCATTTGAAGTTCAAAATTTCACTTCATAAGTACCACAACTGAGTAACCCACCTGAGGAACCTAAGAGGGTGAAATTTTCATATACCACACCTCTAAAATTTGAACACTTTTGGTAGTGCTGGGTATTCTACCACACCCAAACTCGCAACACTCTCGTTGCGACTCAGGCCACCCTGCCTATTCAGGTTGCAAACTTGGACGCCCTCTGAGCTGGGTGCTTAGCGTGACACCGAATCAAGGATTGAGTCTGGCTCCAATAACAATTAAACGGGTGGACGATTATCCATTTACCCAAAAATTCAAATTGTTGGGTAGTATTGCATATCCACCCATTTATACCTAATTATTTTCTCATCCGAATCTAATATAGGACAAATGACCCATATTACACTTAGGAGTATAATAACCCTATCCTTAAAGAGGAGAGAAGGCCGAGTCAGGGTGTGTAAAAGAATGTGTTTAATTTACCCTGAGAAACTTATAAACTAAGGTACAACCATTTTTTTTTCTTGGAAGGTAAGTATTGTGTAAATGAGTAAGAACTTTACAAGTCATGCCAAAATAATAGGTCCAGCCCACGAATAGTGGACAGAGCCCAACAAAATACTAACAATGAAATTTGAACACTGAGGTGCACCTTTATATAGTAACAATATTTTATTAAAACAATTTATTCAGATTAAATGACCAAAATAACCCCATGCATTGGTGGGATTAAACACATACTTGAGCCAAACCAAATGGGTTTTTCTATCTTTTATCTTTCTTCTTTTGGGGGACCAACCTTGGAAAACTTTAGTAAGGCTTGAGTTACCAGGCTACGAGTTCACTTTCCCTTCCCTCACATTTTTCTTCTTCTTTTTTTTTTTTTTCTCTATTCTAACCAAGTGAGGTCTATCTTTTCCAAATTGTATTGCTTTGGCAAATCCAAATTTTAACCAAGGCCGGCGGCGAGCAAGCTTCGATACTCAGCAAGACTTTTCGGCCGCTGAACTTACCGGCAAGTTGCGAACAACGGAGAGCTCGGAACTGTGTGAATGGAATCGGTGGTGGGAAGTCCTGAAAGGCGACAGCTCTATTGTTGGCAATGAAGAACTCCGTCAACACCATCTCCACTACCCACCGTAAAGATACAAAGCCAAAGAAAATTTGTCTTCTTCAACCACCACCCATCGGCGAACCTCTACCATCAATTTTTCTATCAGATTCTCCACATTCACCATCATGATCAAACATAAACAAACTCAAGAAACCCGAAGTCTCCACCATTCAAAAATTAAATAAAAAATCAAAGTCTCCATCTAAATCAATATTGTCAGCAATTCTGAAACAAACCAAACCAAAAAAAAAAAACCTAAAAATCTTTTATTTTTTTATAATAATAATAATAATAATAATAATAATAATAATAATAATAATAGTCTCCATCTAAATCAATGTAAGCAGTTTTGAAACAAACCAAAAAAAAATATATATATATATATGCTTAAAAAAAAAAAATGCCTCTATATATACATGTCACAAAGTGCGTTTAACCACGGTGTGTTCGGAATCTGAAAATTCATCAGGAAATACACTTTTCTAAATCGTTGGAGTTAGTCGGCACATATGATAGAACTTCGTCGGCGTCGCCGACATCATCCAAAGTCCGTGAAATAGACACCAAACAGACCCACCGGTTGTGATAAATATTCGAAACGTAAATCAAAGCACCATTGACAGTAAAGACACTGTCAACGAAGCCGATAATTGATGTTGGAAGTTATGCTGGTTGATTTTTTTAGGTGTTGCAATAGAAGTTTACTCCTCCCCCCTCCCCCCCACATAGACACCAAACAGACCCACCGGTTGTGATAAATATTCGAAACGTAAATCAGAGCACTATTGACAGTAAAGACACTGTCAACGGAGCCGATAATTGATGTTGGAAGTTATGCTGGTTGATTTTTTCAGGTCCCCCCCCCCCCTCCCCCCTAATACACCACATATCAATGAGCGTAAAGCCCATTACTAACCAAAATCGCCCTAAAACCACCCCCCCTGGCACCCCCACAATACACCACATATCAATGAGTGTAAAGCCCATTACTAACCAAAATCGCCCTAAAACCTAACACAAGCTAGAAGCCCAATAACAAAGGTCCACGAGAATGTCAAGTCGGCCCTATTAACGAAAAAAGCTCCACTTGACATGAAGCAGACCACGAAAGGGCCCAAGTTCGACAAACTTATATTTTCATAACGCCTGCAATAAAAAAGAATGCCACAAAATAAGGGGCAATAAACGCCCACATCCAAAAAATAGCCAGTAACGTCTCCATGTAAATCTCTGTACAGGCTTATAAATAAAGCATGAATAATAAGAGAAGATCATTGAATTCCAATCATACTACTCTCATTGTCAAAATCGCCCATTATTTCTGTTCTCTTGCTCAAAATCTTTTGATATATTTTATTAAGTGTTTGGGTGTGAAAAATTGTACCTGCACTTTGGCGCCGTCTGTGGGAAGCATTTACAAAAAGCCTTTTTCACTATCACTTTCTTGCGACATCGCTCCGGGATGGCGACAGGATCAGATGTTGCACGAGCACAACAGTAGGAAATCATTCAGAAGATGCGTGACGAGATGCAAACACAGTTTTATGTCCTTCGGCAAGCCGATGAAGCTAGTATCGAGCAGATCAATGCCCTGAAACAAGCTAACGAAGCCAACATAGCACAAATCAATGCTTTGCGCCAGGAAAATAAAGGACTTCGAGTCAACGCTTGGCCGAATGATCTGCCGATCGCCCCACAACCCGAGCGCCAGAAAGAGCTGGCAGATCCACCCCTGGCACTCGGACTCAATAACCCTCCTCCATAGCGAAGGGCTCTACGGTAACCGTTCAATATCCAAAACGACAACTTTGGATCGAAATGGTGCCGAGGAAACAGCAAGCCAATCTCACGTCCCGGGGAACTCCATGATAGGAGAACCTCGAACCACCAAGGTCCCAGCCTCAAAAGATCATACTGAATCAAGAAGAAAAGATGCGTAAGTCCTAATTGGCGATCAATAGTCGTCTGGGAATGATTTCTTCGCCAAATTTCGAAGGGAAATGGATGAACGCATCAAGGGGCTGAAGGCCCAAACACCCGAGGATATGGCAAGGGAATTCACAACCTCTATAGTTAAAACTCCCTTTACGAATGAAATAAAATAGGTCACAAGCCCAAGAAGTTTACGATGCCAAAGTTCATCAAGTTCAACGGAACCGGAGATCCCTTACAGCATCTCAATCACTACACTCAGGAGATTACCCTAGAGTCACTAAATGATCCATTCATGTGCAAAATCTTTTCGTCTAGTCCGACAGGAATAGCCCTGAAATGGTTCAAGAACCGTCCGTGCAAGTTAATCTCGAACTTTGAGACACTATGCATTGCATTTCTAGCCTAGTGCTGCGGAAACAAGAAACAGAATAAGACTATTTCTAGTCTCTTAACGATTCGGCAGATGAAAGGGGAAGGCCTCTAGACCTTTCTCACTCGGTTCAACATAGAGTCTTCAGGTATTTCGGATTGCAACCAGGATACGGCCATAGAAGCATTCAAGATAGCCATGGTACAAAGTACACGTTTCCACTATTCGCTGGTGAAAATGACTCCAGCTAACATGTCAGAGTTGAATTCAAGAGCTCAAAACTGTATCAGACTTGAGGAGAACAAAATGACAAGGAAGTAAAGGGTGATGCTGGTTACGGTAAAAAACCAATCGAAGGAGTGCCCAAGCACCGCAAGAGCTCAACGAGAACCCCCGAGCATTGAAGAAAGAGCTCCTGAGAAAAAATCTCGAACAGCAGAGAAGGTAACACCTCTCAAAGTAACACTGGCAAGATTGTATTAAGAGACAAAGGGTAGGAACATTTTCCAAATCCCTTCACCAATCAGACAGCCAATGGAACAGAGGGGCCAAAGTAAGCACTGTGCATTCCATAGTGATTTTGGTCACCTAACCAATGATTACAGGAGTCTGAAAAGACAGGTGGAGGCACTATTAACCAAAGGCGAATTGGCCAACTACCTAGCCAACACAGGCCAACAGAGACAATCTCGGAGAACCAGGTCAGCTCCGAAGGCTGCAGTAGACAATAAACCCATTCGATTTATCAATATGATCTATGGTTGTTCGGAAGAAGACGAACAGCCAAAAAATTCCTACAAGATTCAACTCAAACAAGCTCATAAGCTACGAAGGGTCGGTGAGATCAATGTAATCAAATGCAAGCTGAGCTCTGCACAGATTTCCTTTTATGAAGAAGACCTAAAAAGAGTACAGCACCCACATAAGGATCCACTAGTGATCAACCTATTGGGAGCAAATTGTTTAGTCAGGCGCGTACTCATTGACCCTGGCAGCAGTTCCAACATCATAACAAAGTGGACATTCGACCAATTGAAGCTGGCTTTAGATCAGGTCCGTCCCACTGGGAACCCCTTGGTACGGTTCGATGGAAGAAGGGTAGAGCCCATAGGCGTAATCACGCTATCAATCACTACAGCCAAAAGAACCTTGAAAGAAAACTTTGTGATTGTAGATTTCCACCCAACATATAACCTGCTAACAGGTTGAGGATAGATCCATCGAATAGAAGGAGTACCATCAACTCTGCAACCAGTAATAAGATATGTTGGCCCTAACGGGCGAGAGATTATCGATATATGAGGGGATGAGTGCTACCATACTACTATCTGATCAACCAATAAAGGAAAACAATTGCTGAAATAGTAATTACCAGGCTTGTAATACCCCTAGTTTTCAAAAGGGTAAAATGGGGGAATGTAATACCCCTAGTTTTCAAAAGGGTAAAATGGGGATTTAATTTTGTTTAATTGATTTAATTATGTGACATAGGTGATTTGTTTTATTTATTATTTGTTTGAAAGTGGTTATTTAAATTATTATTTTTTTTTATTGTATTGGTTTTTCTTTAAATAAGTTATTTAACTATAATTGTATGTTGGTTGTATTTTTAACTATGTAATTGTGATTTACTTTAATTAATTAAAATAATTGTGATTTACTTGGATTAATGACGTGTATTTTAAAATGACTTAGTTGGTATGGATTCTTTTAGTATGGTCGTAGGATTAGGGTTTTTTTCTTCTATAGGGATTAATTAGCCGACATATGGTTAGGCTGGGATTAGGATTAGGGTTGATAGGGCAGATATATATATGTTGTATGTCTGCAAGGGTTTGAAAAACCCTTTTCCTCGTAACTAGAGAAGAGAGGAACAGAGAGAGATTTGAGGGAGAAGCTGTGAGGCTAAAGGAGGAAGAATAGGGGAAGAACAGAGGGGTTGTTTCTGGATGGAATTAAGAAACAACGGAGGAATTATTCTTGAATAGAGGTGGAATGCAGTCTTGGAAATTCTGAAACTTAGAGACGGCGGTGAAGGTTTCAAACCGGAATCTTAAGGCAAGTTTCAGTCTATTCCTCTCCTGTAAACTTATGTTCCGTGCATCTTATATAGACTCCGGGAACTTAATTAAACTTTTAAAAACAGACTTTATTCATGCTTGATATTTTCTGAAATCTGTTCTGCGTTTTAAAGTTTAAACTTATTCTTGCATAAACTGTGTGTGTAGTTTAAGTTTTGTTTGTCAATTGGTTCACATTGGGATAGGAGGAGTCTTTTAGGGGTTTAAGAGCATTAATGGAACCTTAATATTCTTAAAAAGGTCTGGAATAGAACACTGGACTTCGCCGGAAGCACAGACGGCAACCGGACGAAGCAGAGACGAAGCAATGGAGCAGAAACGGCTTTCAGGGGAAGAGAGCCGGCTCCCTAAATGAGGGAGCCGGCTCCCAAAAAGGTAGAGCCAGCTCTCCATGAGGGAAAGCCGGCTCTAGAAGATGAAGAGCCGGCTCCCATGGGGGGGAGCCGGCTCCTTTGAACAGAAACCCCTACGGGGGTATTTCTGGTAATTTTTGATACTTCAGGGGCAAAAGGGTAATTTTGGAGTTTCATGGGGGTTCTTAAATGGTGTACAGAGCATGTTTAAGACCTAAGATGTATTGATTCAGGTTATGGGAATGGACAACATAAATTTTAAAATAAGAATGTTCAATACTGTTATGAAGGAAGGAGAATTGGAATCGTTGGTTGGCTAGCAAATTAAATAAACTGCTATAAAGGTAAGTGTTAGGAATTTATACCAATGATATAAATGACATGTTTCAGTTCCATGAGGGTTGTTTATGCTATGGTTAGGGTCGTCATGTAATTTTAATTGATAGGTTGCATGCCGACAGGAGTTGTAGGAGTTTTAGTTGCTAGCTTTATTTTAGCGAACTAAATGGACTTGTATGGGAATACTTTTGGGGTTTCATAAGATGTACTCCGGGTAGATTTCTGAGTGTCATTATATCAGACACATGATCTATAGTGAGGATTAAAGGGACATCATGTAATTTAAGCATTACTTGGCATGCTGTCAAGGATGATGTAGGTTGTGATTACTAGTTTTTTTTAGCAAACGAACTGGACTAGTATGGAGGTATTTTTGGCAGTCTAGTATAATGTGCACAGTTATAACTCTATTTGTCATTATATTGTGATATGGATGTTAATTGATGAACTGTTAAAATTTATGTTCGATCAATTGTATGGAATTGGATAATTTAAGTTGGTTATCATTACCTTAACAATTTAAAGGAAGGATTTATGGTTAAATCATTATACCCTGCTATGGTTGTTAATTGATGAACTGATTTAGTTTCTGTTTTGTTAATTGGATGGATGTGGATAATTTAAATTGTTTAACAGTACTATAACAATTTAACAGGAGTTTTATGATTATAATCATATACTGGATGCATAATAGGATCTTAATAATACCTGTTTTCTATTATGCTGGTTCATGGATATACTTGATGTTCTAATGAATGTGCATCACTGGTGGATCATTTGCATTATATGTACCGGTATGGGACGGTGACATATCAGGGATGGATTGGATCAAAAAGCTAAGTCCTACCCCTTCTTACATACGGAATGGATTAACTAAAATAGTTAACTCCTACTTGGATACATGTCCTGTCAACTAAAACAGTTGAACGACATAACGGATGTTTGTTTTATCTTTCACATTAGGAAGGAATTTATATATATATATTTATGGTACCGTGATACGAGCTTGAGTCTCTTGATCACGGTTAGGGTGCGTATATTGCAAAGGTTGAGTAGCTAGATATAGCTAATGTTCCCTGGTAGGTCTAGGTACTTGGCCACTGAAAAATGTGTTTTATATGTCACCATCTACCTAGGTTGAACTATGTTATAGGCTAGTGAGCATCCTACAGTGTGTGTGTATATATATATATAAACTATTGTAGATATTGCCGAGCTATCTAGGATGTATCTGCGTATCGGGTTTATGTACGGATTGTAGTAGATTGGAACTTGCATGTGGGCCTGACCCACTCCTATTTTTCAGGTATTCGCCAGTACCAGGCTTAGAGATTGATCGTGTTGATGCAGATACAAACACTCACTCTTCTGGTTACATAGGATTTCCTTTCTATTTTGGTTTTGGATTTTAATACTGTAATTTTATTCAAGGATTTGGGATTAGGGATCCACTAGGTGGATTCCCGAATTGTACGGTTTTAAATTATATTGATTTATTATTTCAAGTTTGAGGATTCTTATTTTAGTTTTCTTTCAGCGTATTATTAATTTAGTCTTATTTCAGTTTTATTCCTGCTTGTTTACATATTGATTGTTTGGTATCCCTCGGATCTATACTCGGACTTGATCACCCGTGGCTCTAGAATCGAGGGGTATCGCAGTTGGTATCAGAGCACTCCAAGTTCTAGTGTCCTTAGGAGTGTTTTTCATTAGAAGTCTTCCGCATTGCGTTTCTTAAAAAAAAAACTTAGAGCCATATTATGATTCGTTGTACTCTTTTACGGTTCGTTAGGAGGAGCAACTGATGTCAATTATATTCCATAATTATGGAATGGTTGACACTAGACGGAGGATGGGGTCCGCGGCGACAGCGAATCGGACCAAAGGAGTAGAGGAGTACGTTATCAAGTTCTCTACCAGAAGCAGAACTCGGGATCGAAGGTTTAGTTCCAGTTGGCGCTACTTTTGGAAGTACAAGCCAATGAAGGATTTGGGAGTGTGTTTTAGGTCACCGTATGAAGGGACCAACACGATTTTGGATGTTCTCATAAAGGAGACAACCGAGGAATAGGAGTCCGGAGAAGATTCTAGTGTCGAAGAGTTCAATCTACTTAAGAAAGAGGGTATTGAATCTTAGAAAGCAAGGATCACGCGAGGGTGATCTTGTTCGCTAATAGTATAGTGAACAATACTCATAGAGTTGAGGTGGATAACTAACCTTGTGTATTACCTTTAAACGAGGTAGATAAAGGGAACTTTTTAGGGGTTTAGGAATCGGATGGAGTTCTTCTCAGAACGAAACAAAGATTATATAGCACGTTCCAGGGAGTAGGGGGATTAGGTTTTGACGATCTAAGTTGCTTTATTCTGTGTATAAGGAGGATGAAGGTTAAGCTTTTGGAATTCGCTCAAGCAAATGGATTTTATTTTGAGCTACGATTTGAGCTTATGTTTCGAGGTTGGATGATTTCCTCTGAAACTGTAAAAAAAAAGGAGATTGTGAACCAATCTGGTAAAGTTAATTTATAAAAGAGACTTTCTTTGCCAGGAGGAATGATGTTTTACGTAGGATTCTATTGTGTTTTATTGTGTGTGCTTTAGGTGTTTCATTTTTGTTAATTAGTCAGGATTGGGATTACGGTTTAGTTGGGGGCACAAGTGTGTGATCAATCAACTACCGTTTGGAGGAATAACATTATTTACGCTAGGATTTTGGGCATGGGGTCCAAGGGTTTGGTAGTATACCTACCCTTAGCCAATTTAGTGAACTTAGATATGTGTAGTTATAGTACGTTTTCAGGATGGGATAAGTAAGCCAACAGTTCGAGTCAAATGATATAGATTTATTTGATAAACTGTAATGCCATGATGTTTTACCGAGGGAACTGATTTGGTTGACTATCTTCTTAGAGATTTTAGAAGAGGTAGTCCCAAGTCAGCAGGAGGATTTTAGTACTGGTTTAAGTACTTATTAAAATGACACCGACTGAGGATAGTAGATGGATTTACTAGTCATCAGTTAATTCTTAATCAAGAATTTTATTTTTATCAGGGGGTGTCATTAGGAGGAGGTGCTGGAGTTGCATATCAAGGAGGAGGCAAGGTCACTCAGTTGCACAAATAGTATGAAATTTTTTTTTAGGTTACCGTTCGCAACAAGTAGTTGTTGCTCGGCAATTGTTGACTATTTGGAGGATGAAAAGATTTTCATATGCGGTTGCAGTTAGACAGGATGTCTAATCGACACTTATTTGTGTTAGAAAAGTAAGATGTCAAAGACTTGAAGATAAGACCAAACATCTAATATCTGTCTCAAAGTCTGATATCTGGTAAATAATCTAGATGGACCGTCAAAGATCATTCGATCCTTGCGGCCACTTCTCATACTAGAGCGGGACTGACAAAGTAGTTTCCACAGATCTAGATAATAGATAAC